CTCCAAAGATCGACACCAATATGAAAACAACACAAACTTCCTTCAACCACTCCTCCACTTACGATTGCTAAAATTTTAACCACCTAGAAAACCACAGAGAAAGGTAAAATCACAAAGAGAGAATGGCCACAAAGACAGTAGAGTGAACGAATAGCAATAGACAGAGAACGCAAAGAGAAGCCGTCCATTTTCACACCGGGAAGAGAGGCAGAGGAAGGATTCATATAAGGGAAAATTACCTAGAAACCTAGGTTTAAAGACTAGTTTTCAAGAATAAAGGAGGTTAACTTTCATTTCAAAAGTCAGGTGGTAATTTAATGGATTAATACATATTTATTAATAAAAAGCGTTTATGTACCCTAGCCACCCACGCGCCCACTCTAATTAGTCTTTTCTCTCTCCTCTACCTTCTCCATCGGCTTCTCTTCCTCTTTAGTTACTGTCACCGGAGTTCGCCGCAACAATGCTCACATGAACGACTGTTGGTAGTAGTTCCGGTGAATGGATCCACCGAGGGAATTTTCCATCGAAAGCACTGCTGTCCGCAATTCGTAGCTCAACTTCTTTGAATTTTCAGATCTACGATCCGGAATCACCGCTCCATTTTCAGGTACTCCGTATTCACGATTGCTTGATCTTTTCTCCACCGTGAGGTCTGGTCATTTGGACACACGTTAATCCCTGTATCATCTTCATCCCTCATCCCAAAAAAGTAACACTAGCCTCATTTCCACAATCATCTTCTTCAACCTTGGACTCCCTGCTATGATTGATTACACTTTGTCTATGTATGGTGTTTTGGAGCTTTTCAGTTACTTTGTTCTGTTGGTTGTAAAAAGTTTCTATTTTCCTAAATTTGTCTCTGAATGTATTAGTACTGATAGTGGAGCATAAGTCAGGGAGTTAAAGTCTCAAAAATTCCTTATTTGAATGGATTTGTTGAGGATGATTAAGGCCAAAAACGGAGATATTGACTATCGATTTAAAGCCAGGCTGCGGACCTCGTGTTTGTAATTAATGATAAGCCACATAATATTTTTTATCCCAGTGAACATCATTGTGAGCCCAAGTTAAGAGCTATTGGTTTCCCAAGGTATGTCAATCACCAAGGAGCTAGGGAACTGAGGTGATTTGAAGCTCATGTTTGAAGTTAAGTTTTCTACGAGAATGACACCCGAGCAACCCAAGCGTGCTTTAGGAGGTTGATGATACAATTTTCGTAGACCCGATTGTTGTACTTTTATTTTTATTGTTTTCGCGTCTTTTGACTATTTCTTTTGCATTTTTGTTTCTGTTCATGTGAAAATTCCCTTGTTAGATATCTGATTGTAAGCAACAAAAGAGACGATTGAGTTATCCACTGAGCAAATAGGAAAAAAAGTTTCTTTTTCCCATTTTTGTTTCTGAATGTGTTAGTACTGATAGTGACACATAAGTTTGGGAGTTAGAGTTGTGGTACATTGGTGGTTAAGGTAATTAATGATAGTTAAAGGCCACAATAATAAAAGAGTTGCTCTGCAACATTTTGCTATAATGGTTGCTGGACAACCAAAATTGTGGACAAAAATAAAATATGTGTTCTTCTATAGTCAATATGGCCATGTTCAATCTGAGAGAGTTTATTGTGTCAAGAGGACATATTTAAAATCTGCTAGCCCATTTATGGTCGTGAATTTGAGTTGAAGGTGGTAGTGGTGGTGCATTGGAGGTGATGGTGGGGTGACCAGTGGTGAATTGTAGTGCTAGTTTTGAGGAGTGTGCAAATTTCTTTGTGGTGACCTTACCAAATTTGTACTTATTGTGAACATTTTGTGTTAGTTGTGACCAATTGTGACTTGATTAGATACCACCACAGTTAAGGTTGTGACCATTCCGTGTTAATTGTGACTAGTTGTGACCACTCTATGTTAATTGTGACCGATTGTGACCTGATCACACTGAAGACAAATTTGGTCACAAGCAGTCACATTAAAGATATATTTGGTCACAGTTAGTCACATCTTGTGCTTGTGCCTCTTTCTGAGCCATTAGGTGCAGCCATACAGGTGCAAATGATGGAATAATAGGTTAGAGGTGGTGGTGTTGTGTTCGTGGTGGTGGTATCAATGATGGTGTTGGTGGTCGTGACTATTTATATATTAACGTGAGTCTATATGATAAGTATATTTTAATATATAAAAAAGGAACACTTTTCTTATTATTATTATTATTATTATTATTATTATTATATTGATGTTCGAACTACAATTTTTGTAAGATTTGTGTTTTTTGGATTATAATAAAGGAGATATTTTGAGTGCGTGGTTAATTTGGAAATAAGAGAATGTTGAGTGCATTAAAATGAGAAAAGAAAAATATTGAAATAAGTCGTCACAAATCACAAATTTTATAGGTCACAATTTCTTTATTGGTCACAAATTATCAAATTAATAGGCAGCGTGTTACTTTTGAGTCACAAGTCGCAAATTTTACAGGTCGCAAATTATTTTACGATTACAAATTATTAAATTAATTGGTTACAAGTTATTTTTCGATCACAAATTATCAAATTATTTTACCAAAGCTTAATAAATTGCGAGTCACAATTCACATTTTTCAGGGCACATCATTTATTGATTATGGTTATCAATTTTATCGGTGACAAATTATCAAATTATTCATACTAGACACTCTTTACCCCATTTAACCTATTCCCCGATCCCACCCCAACCAAAATGTCGCACCACCAAGCTGAAAATAAGCAAACCACCTACAACAAAATTATCACCACAGTCACTGACACTGCAACGTTAAACAACTCTCACCACCATTTCCTTCATCACAATCACGTCAACTCCATTTTACCTACCAGATAAATCTATTAACAACAAAACTTGGGGTGCCTATAGGCTACGGTGCTCGATGCAAAAATTATACCAAGCACACGACCAAATGCTCTCAAAAGTTGTTCACGGGGGGTTCAACTTCCAAGCTAGCTACTGTTCTGCACTTCTAGCATAGGGATGCAATTTACCAAGGTTAACAACATTTTTAAAATATAGGAACTTGATTTCTTTTACAACTTTACAAAATCAGAGCCGAAATTTCTTTTACAACGTTACAAAATCAGGTCGGTGAGGTGGCAACTGTAGTGCCGTGATGCGGCTGTAGCCCGCGGCTCCTTACACACAGAGCTGCTGCTACTGCGACTATTGTAGTTCGTAGAGATCGGTGCACTGTGCACAGCACAATAGCTGCGGTGACTTCGTCCATGAGGCTCGACGACGTCTTCCTGTTGCGTCTTATCCTCTTTCAGCGGTGATTTATCGGTGGTATTTTCCACATGTGAGAGAGAGAATGAGATGAGAGAGAGATAGAAATGAAATAAGTAATTACAATTTCAAAGTGATATTTGGTGAGGTAGAGCGGGATGGGCCGATGTGGATGGGTAGTAGATTATTTTAATTTTATATTACTTATTAATATTAAAAATTTGACTAAACACCTGAATTATAAAATAATTTAACAAGATTGTGCGATTTGAAATGTGATTATTAAATTGTGACAGTTGTGTTGTTTTCCCTTCATATAACCAAGTAAGTGAGACAGCCAAGGTAAGTGAATTACGGTACAGTAATGGGTCAAGGCTCAATAAGCAGTTAAGTGGGCTCCTAAGTGGATTCCCATTTATTAGCTATCCAAGTAAGCGGAAACGGGCCATGAACATTACTAATTTAAATTAGGGATAATTAGGCCCAGTACGACCATTACTTAGAAATTTGATTAATACCCTTTCATCTTTTTAATTATCATTAGCAGTATAATTTACGAAGAAAAGTAACTGCCCCCAACTAAATAGAAGGCCAGAAGAAGCTGAAGTTTCGAATAAATGAGCTAGGAAAAATCATTGGGGCAGTTGTGATGGAGCCTAATTTCTGATTCTTGCCTTTTAACAGTGATTGCTAAGTAAACTCCTCCA